ATACAATTGTAAAGAGGTTACTTCATGTACACTAAACAACAATGGAATTCATTATTTCATGCAGTGAGTCGGAGATCCTTAAAATAAAAGATTTGTGTTAGGTGTATGTCGTTAGCACCCATATACGCCAATCCATATTCCGTCTTATTGTGAGAGAAAACTTGTTTATTTTTAAAACATTTACTTTAAGTACCTGCACAATAAAGATTGCAATGAATGCATGAGTAATTTCTGAAATGCTATCACTAGCATGCTTAAAGCGTTGGCAAAAACGTACTATCATATTCATATTTATCATAAAACTGACCCATTTTACTATGCCATACGGTCATGTCATAAATATGGTATTACACATGTGTAATAAAACCTAAATTGGTCAAAACCGTGGGAAAATATCCCTATGCCACTACAGGTATTATTTGTATTAACTAAACCATATCACACATTTTTAAATGAATTTGAAATGTCTATTTCGTTATTTTCATTTTCGTTGCATTAACAAATTCTTTTTACTTTAATAAGAGAAAAAATATATGGAACTTCTTTGCACTGCGCGGAACAACACTACTATGATCGGAATACTTTGGTTTTAATAATAAAAAGTCAGCTGAGAACAAAAAAAAATGTGTTTGAGTTTTTTTCAAATTATGAATGTAATGTGTTAAATTGAATCTTACATTCGTGTCAATGCCGTATTTAGTTGATTAACTCGTTCAATAATTTGCAACGACACTCGCTTACAGGCTCGGGCCATATCCAAATATTGAACTCGTTTAATAAATTCAATTTGACATGGACACTCATGTAAAATCATCTATTTACGGAAAACATTGTGTCATTCGTCCAGTGAAGATAAAATCTATGTTAACTCATACTACCACTTCCTCGGCCACTTTGGTAAACATCCGTATCAACACGAATCTGTTACAATCTCATTTCACGTTTTTCAAACGTCCAGACCTTTTAAACCGTTCATTGTACTGAATGTACGCTTGCATACTTCAGTAGATCTTGGTTGGGGCTAATTTTTACCATGACATGTTATCAGAGAATAGGTTCAAGGCCTTGATATGGGTTCATATATAGGTCAAAAATAAAAATCTTAAAAATAGTAAAATCTTTATCACATTTTAAAGAGCACGATGAAAAATGACAAAGACATACTACTTTGAAAAAATTTCATTTTTATATTTTTTGGTGTAACGGTTTTTTGTTATATTTAACAAATTATGATCAAGTTTATTAGCAAACACGCATCTGAAAAATATGTCAAAAAACTAGATGTCTGTTGTTTATAGAACTTTTTTTACAAGAATTTAAAAAAAATACCAATTCGGCGGCCATTTTGAAAATGTGTATTAATGTGTGTTTATTGCACTTTAAAAAAGGCAAAAAAAAATCACATTTTTTGACACTAGATTGATCACTTAAGTTGTTATTGTGTCACCATTTTTAATTGTAGCAGGGTCAATTTTGCTGTACAACTTTATAATGTTTAAATTGATAAAAAAAATATGCAACAAACTGGAAAATTATACATTATTGATATAATTTTTTTACATATTTAGTGTAACTGAAGCACTTTTGATTTTTGACCCCGAAAAAGGTAAAAAAATAACACAAATGATAATGGGACAAAAAAAAAGCACACCGACCCCCCATTTTTGTGGATGTTTTAAAAAGAGAAACACGTTTTCTTTTAATTCATTAAATATTAAAAAAAAAGTTTAATAGCAGAACTTTTTATATCAAGCGTTTAATCTGCAAAAAATGGTAAAAAAGAGTATTTTTTCATTAAAAAATAGGGGGTAGGGGTAACTAAAATTGGCTTTCTGAGTTAAAAGAATAAGATTAAGAAATTTTACTTCCATAATTTAAAAGAAATAATATTTTCATCAATTCTACAAACATTCATACATATCTGATAACACACTTGGAAGAAATTTTATGAATCTGTTCTGCAAATGGTCAAACCCCAAAAAATCACCTAAAATCACATGTTGTGTTAAATTGGTATCTTTGACCGATCATAGCACAAAAACGAACACACCAACATATAGTTTTTTTTGCATTTTCTACTTTGCCATTAACTCCTTTTTCCAAAACTCCATATAAGAAAAAAAGTTTAATACAGGAAATTTTTGACTTCTCAGAAGTGTACATCCTTAAAACTCTTCTCCTCCGTAACTATGAAATATAAAGAGTTGATATTTGGCACATTTATAGCATGTATGTTTGGCTACATACAGTGTTTAGTTCGTTGACCTTGACCTTTATTCAAGGTCACAGTGGTCAAATGATCAAAATAAATATCAAAATTCTTCAAAAATAATAATTTTACTCCTCATTTTATAGAATGTATCCTAATAAAGACATTTATTAAGTTTCAAGGTCAATGCATCATGATGCAAGTCAATAAACATGTCAAACCTACAAAATATCGCTAAAAATGACATAAATGGCCAGAATGGAAAATAATTTCTTCTACTGTACAAAGGGCAATAACTCTAACAAAAAATTCAAACTCTGTATAGACAATATCCACAAACAAGGTAAATCTTCCAAACTTATTAGGCATGATAGTCAGCTTCAATATGTTCAGGAACAATTTACTCACTGTATGTTTAAATGTTTGTTTTCTATTTTTACGCAATAATATCCAAAGACAGTTGATTCATCATGATAATTCAAAATATATTACTGATATATTTTCATAGCTTCTGTTTTAATATGTAAAAGTGTTCTGTTTATATTTTATAAATTGGTGAAGCTAACCAGGCTTTTTGTCGGTGACCAGTCAGTCTACAATACACAGAGTCACTGTGCATCATAACAGCTGTCAATCAACATTGCCTGTGGGACCATTATGATGTGTACTGCTGTTCCGAAATAACAGTGCTTTCGATCACCAGACTATCACTGTGTGTACTGGGGTGTGGTGCCGCTGTGTCCAAATAACAGAACTGATATCACAAAAACCTATGGTATGAATAAGGTGCATGTGCAAAGTTTGTCGGAGAAGGGAAGCGAAGGGAAACGTATAAAAGCGATCGTCAGTTCGAGATCATTTCTTTGTTCTTTTTCTTGTTGGAAATCCGGTGATTTGATCTTAGTGCTTAACTAAACCACACTCAAAATCATCGTGTCTTTCAAAGTTAGGTTCCAGCCTACTTCTATTTCATATTTCACCATCAAAACGTATATTTATTGCTAAAAGGTTATAGTTGTGAATTTCGAACAATCCGAGGCAAAAAAAGCTATTCAAACACAGTGCAATGGGAACAAATATGTATAGGAAATAATTGCTGAGCGTAGTAAGGCAATCATTGTCTGCTTTGTACCGCAACATATGTTTATCTTCAAACACACTTTAGAATCTCAAACATACTAAACCCCCACGTACACCGTACCTGCAATAAAAGTGTGTACACTATTTTCAAAATTGTGTTTTGGTCAATTAATATGGGACGTACCTGTAGCTAAAGGCAAAAACGCTTCGGTTTATTATAAAGTATTCTTAAGAATGTCTTCAAAAGTAAGATATTCTGATATTTTTTAAACTTTTGTTGATTATATGGCCTTAAAAATCAATGTTGAGATTTCTAACTGCCGGTTCTCGAACATTGTATATATGTGTATACAAATGAACCTCTATCGGCGATACTATTCTGCTAGACCGTTTTTCGCTGGACTACAATGCAACCCACTACAGAAAACATTCCAATAATACAATAATGTACCCCACGTCGCACTCCGACCCAGGCTCACGTCAGACTCATCCTTCCACTTACAATTCCACGTTGTATACCTTACCTGGCTGTTCGATTTGTATTTATCACATATTTTGACACGACAATGATTAAGGTGGACACCTTTTGTCACTTTTTTCACACTCATATGACTGGTTTTCTGGCACATTAGTTACTTAATATAGAATAATTATGTGACTGGAACTTTATATCAATATTAAAATCGTTAATTTAAATTGACAATTGTAGCTATCTTTCCTTGTGTATTGCTCGCCCAGAGACCGATACATCTCTGGCTGCCGCTCGCCCAACATTGCAACTCAAAAAGCGTTCCCTCCATTAATATACACGATGTATTTCCCCTTGGTACACTTCCTATACACGGGGTTTATCCCTGGCAACATGCATTGTTTGATACATGTAGCTAGTACCCAGTGGAGACCTTGGTCTTGGGTGAGGGCACCCAAAATGGAACACTTTTGATATATATGATGCAGCACTTTTTCTTTTGCACTAACAATTAATGCTATGTATTCTCAATCAAGATTTATATAGTTTTATGCATTTTGAGCAAATTACATCTGCCTACTTGATAAACATTGCTTGTAAAATGAATTAAAATATTAAAAATTGAAATGATAAAAAATCCCGGGAAACGGTACGGTGCGACAACATAAATATCCTATCAAACATGTAGTAGCGACCAGTTTTGTCAGAAATTGTCAAAACTTTTTTGAAATGAAGAAATTATGGTGTCAGTCATGATCAGAGACGTGTAATTATATACGTCTCTGTGTCAGTTAAGTGTTTCTTTTTGGGTACTCGACCAGCTTTTAATTTAAAGTGTATCTGACTCACTTTAGTGAGCTCTATAAATACAGGCCTAAAATGATTGTTTCATTTTAGTAAAAAAAAAAATGGTCTTTCAAAAAATTTAAACTATAGGAAATATTAATATTGTTCTTTAAAAAGTGATCAATTTTGGTTACCCTCGCCCTGGTTTACTCACCTACATGTGATCAAATCACGGACTTAAATAATTCCGTTGTAAAATTCATGAATATTTACATAAATTGGTTATCAAAACAAGATTTATATAAGTCACCCCAGATAAAATGAAACCAATGCCTTTATTCTCTCTTCGCATATTATATATAACGGCAAGTGTCTGTGAACGGGCATGTAATATAAAATCCGGAATCTAATAATCGCAACTAATTATTCCGGGTCAAAATTTACTTTGCTATTTGCTGTTCCGGTGAAAAGGCTGACGCTGGCGAGAAATTAGATACTGTACCAAAGAAGAAATATCGGGATTATCTCCACAAAATATAGGTATGCAATGGAATGGACGCTTTCATTTCAGCAATCAATAATGGAATTAGGGTATTTAATATGTTTTACGGCCGTTAGTGAGGGCGTAGCCAGGTTGTAAATGTATCGGACAATCGGTACTGTCTTTCAAGCATTAATTTGAGTGATATATGTTAAAATACAGGGGCCCGGTTTCGGGATACTTTTATACACATTCTAAAACCTTATAAGAATTGATTTATAAGGTTTTAAAATGTGTATAAAAGTATCGCGAAACCGAGCCCCTGTGTGTTAAATTACTAAATCAGACCAGTTAAGGTCATTCCAATATTGCTGCAGTTAGCATTACGCAATATTTCTCCAAAAAAATTGAGGTACATGCACACTAAATTTCAGAAAAAAATTATTCAATAACTGATGAAACAACTCACTTTTTATATGTTCATTTTCCATTAAGCTGAATAAAAGTCACAATTCAGAAAAAAAAAATCCTTTTAAACTTGTGAATATCATAAGGTTGGATTGAGATGCATTTGTCAAAAAAATGTAAGAAAATGCTTCAAATCTCGAGAATGATGATATTGGATATTTTACAATAATTCATAAAAGCTAACAAGACTTGATACAAGTCCAGCCATATTACCCGAGTGAGAACCTGTAGTGAATGGTGTGCAGGTAAAATATTAGTACTAATATTAATACCCGGCCTCCTCTGCCCAGGCCGGGTATTAAATCGATCCCATGCCTTGTAATGGAGCAAGCCCGGTGTGAAACACGACGGGGCGATTTTAGAATTAATTGACAGCACATTGGTCCAGCATCCATAAAAAAGGTTTTAGTATGAACTATTTCTGTTGATATCCTGCACAACTTGAAGTTTACCTATGCCTAAAATGTCGTTAAATTATCAAGTTTAACGTAGCAAGCGTAATCGAAATCTGAATTGACCGCGATGTTGGAAAGTTCGTCTCTCTTCCGATATAGGTCAGACGTCCAAATATGGGTGTCATGACCCAATATGGAAATTGTAGTAAACATTGCGGCATCAGTAGTAATACTATATTTAGCCATGCAGGCCATATATAGAAAGGATCATTGAGATAATATCACGCATGATCTGTTATGGTGGTCGTTTCTATTTTTTTCCCAAGATGGACATTGTTAATTTCGTAAAAGAGTTTTTGCATGGGTAAGGATTCTTTTTTTCAACAATTATGCACTTTTTGATAACATTATACTCATATGAGGCGTGAATTGTATGCAATCTTACAGCGTAACACTTTTGATTTTTCTCCATTAATTGGCATAGGAACGCTTCGTAGCTCTGACAACGCAAAATATATAAAAAAAATCTCTCGTCGTCAGAAAGCTACGTTATCGCAGCTAGTAAAATATCACCTTTTTTTTATATCGGTCTTGCGTTGATTAACGTCAGAACTTTGGCCCTCTATGATATACAGGAAATAAGCGACCCGCGCCAGGGTCGCTCTTCAAACTGATATTTTAGAAACAAATCGTCACTCTCACACACATGTCTCTCATGGATCGAAAGATCTATTCTTTATGCACTAGGTGGTATCAATAACATGTTTCAAAGAACATTACAAACAGTATTTTCCAACGTTTTCGATACCCACCCACGTTTTTAATGGAAATTAGGGCATGAGCCATGTCACATGACTTGACATGATCTTGCGTTACCGAAGGTATTTCCCAAAGTTATGACAGAGATTTTATTCACGTGGCATTAGAAGAGTAAGTTTGAAAAAAAATGTTTTTAGTGATTGTATTGGTTGTTTGAGGCATGTTATGTATGTTCATCTTGTGTATAAAGAATAGATCTTTCGATCCATGTGCGACATGTGTATGAAAGTGACAATTTGTTTCTAAGATATCAGTTTGAAGAGCGACCCTGGCACGGGTCGCTTAATTCCCGCATGTTATAGAGGGCCGGAGTTCTGACGTTAAACGAAGCCAGACTGATATAAATAAAAAAAAGTCGATAAAAAAGGTCAGAATAATTCGGACTAGGGAAATATATGCCATTATTCTGGAGATTTGACACATTTTCTTACATTTTTCTCGACAAATTCATCTCCATGGACATCCAACCTTATGATATTTACAAGTTTAAATGGATTTTTTCCTGATGTTTTTTTATTCGGCTTGCAAAATGAACATATAATAAAGTGATTTTTTTCATCAGTTATTGGAATGTTTTTACTGAAATTTAATGTGCATGTACCTCAATCATGTTTGAGAAATATTGGAGGAGGATATTTTTGTGACATGGATTGTTAAACTCTAACAGATACCGGAATGCATTATTGAATTTGATATACAGTTTGGTGTGGCAGGCATATTGGAATTCCTTTCTTGATTGTAGTGTACTGTAGCAGTGGCTATACACACAGAAGGGGCCATAAAGCCCCCTCCAAAAAAGAACAAAAATGTAATTCTTAAAATGCATATACTGTAGTGTATATGATGCATTTGTTTTAAGTAATGATTATATGAAATTGTTTACCTTGAAAACCTCCGGATTCAGTTTGTCTTGACTTTGAGTTTGATGGAAGACTGGAAAAACTTGTATAGCTAGCTAGGCCTCTTGAAAATTGTCGCTGAATCAGAATGAAATGCCTGTAAACATATATATAATGAAATATCGCAGTTAAATTGTCGCTGAATCAGAATGAAATGCCTGTAAACATATATATAATGAAATATCACAGTTGGTATGCTGAGGGAGTTAGAAACCAATTGAGTAAACTGCATTTGTACATTAACGTAAAATAGGTTATTATCAACAAGTTAACACACAAAATTACCATGCTTCCTTTCCAGGTTGTTCTTGTTGTTATAACATGTATAGGTAGTTGATATATTGCTCCACATTTTAAAAATTGACAAAATGATAGGATATGCTTCTAATTAGCTGAATTCATGATGAAATATATATATGGAATTTTATCTAAAATTTATACAAAATCACCCAAGAATGCTTTTTGACCAAGGTTGGTTAAAAAATGTCTTAGGTTCTTGAGAAGTCAAACATGTAAAAGTTAACTAACACAAAAATAAAGAAATGGATGACAAACTTTGATCAGGAATTTCTCTGGTTCAGATTAGTTAAAACGTGCAGTTAGCGACTGGCATGTCACCCACCACACTTATATATATACAAAATGGAATCTGCTGCATGCATTTTCTTAGGTAGTTACAAATTAATTTCGCTTGCAGTCCCAGGAGTCATTTTCATTGAAATTGGAGTTAGTATCATTTTTTGCTTCTTCAAATTGAATTGATTGTTTTACTTCTATGTCACTAGCGACAGACAAACACATGAAATAATACCATTTATTTGACAGCACGTACATCATTAGGATGCACTCCATCATACAAATCTTTGTATGATGTCTTCATGATTTTTTGTGATGTATTGTTTTTTCTACCACGTCTCTTTTGTGGAACATAACAAAAGGTCACGATCCCATCTTACAGGTGTGGTAAAAGCAGGTAATGCAGAGTTAATAGTTTTCAAATCTTCTAACTCTAAGTGTTTTTGCTGTAGTTATCTTTCCTGTTCTGAATACATAGCATACTACAGTTTTCGTTTTAATGTAATGAAATCACGATTTTTTTCAATAGAAACAGATGGAACACATGTGAATTTCACAAAAACATTTTCAAGTGTCTGAAAATAATTTGAAATATCTCTAAATTCAGAAATGATAGACTGCACATTTACTGTAGATCTAACATACTCTATCTCACTTCCGGTGGAATTAGTAATTTCATTTGTTGAATTACAAATGTCTGCAGCAAGGACAATCCAAATTCTGCAATATGTGATGTCGTCGTTTTTTTGACTGACAAGATGTTTGATATCTTGAAGTTTTCCGCCTGGGCGTATGATGACATGACATTTATGTGAGAATACGAAAGGTTCATAATCATTATAAGTATTTAACTTTGCACCTCTTGAATCCATTGCAAAAATCAAAATCAAAATAAAACATATTAGGATAGATATTGTAAATCATGTATAATAGCATAGTTATCTGATATCCACGAAAAGATATACATATATATATATATGTATATATCTTTAAGAATAACCCCTTTGGATTACTTCAAACTTAACTTCAAGCCATACCAAGGATGAGCTCTTGATTTATAAATATTGTATCCAGAAAGAATTTATGAATAGTATTTTTACAATTTTTGTGGTTTTTATGTGTAAACTTTTATCCTATCATTTTGCGTCACTGTGATAAACCTGATAATGTGATTGACTCCCTTTTTGTTGACAAACAGCACGTTGTTTTGTTGATATTCCGTTTTCTAAATATATACCACTGCAGACAACACAATACATTTTTCAACCAATCAAATCAATGGTAACTCGATTATTCAGAACTAGAGCAATGTAGCCGGTATTTCAAGAGAATTTACATCATTAGATATAAGTTTTAAACCTTAAACCTTACAAAAAAAATGTAACGTTTGTTCGAGATTTGGCAAACGAGAACTTGTTTTGGGATCGAGATGGCAGAGAGTTTTTCAGTTCCATAGGTATTGTGAATAATCTTAATTTGTCTTACATATGTCTTACCTATAAGGAGAGCTTTGCTCTCACAGGCCCATGAGAAAGCTTCGCCCTCTAATATTTATGGAACACGAGCCAGAGCGGAATAGCAGGCATAATAACAGTACAAATAACAGTACACCCAGACACTGTAAGAGTACAAATAGTCTGGCTGTAGCTGCGATAGCGTAGCTTTCTGAGGACGAGTCTGCAAACAACTAGACATGTTCTATAAATTACACATAATATACTACACAGTACAGTCTGCAAGCAACTTGCATTGATTGAATCATTTTTGTCATCATTATTCCCCTTTGTCAAAGTTGGTATAAATGGGGATATAAACCAGACTCACATTCATCTATCCAGATTGTATTCCATACATTAACTTTGATTCAAATCTTTCAATAAATTAGATTCAGACTCAATACTTGGTTTCTTTGCCAAAATTGTATGCACAATATTAATAGTGGAACTGTGTTAAAGGTTAAACAGTCAAATATTGAGATCTCAAATATTGTCAGAGCTTTAACATGTTTGTAAGACAGTTTGATGTTCTAGTGCCATTGTTTTAACATGTTTATAAGACAGTTTGATGTTCTAGTGCCATTGTTTTAACATGTTTATAAGACAGTTTGATGTTCTAGTGCCATTGTTTTAACATGTTTATAAGACAGTTTGATGTTCTAGTACCATTGTTTTAACATGTTTATAAGACAGTTTGATGCTCTAGTGCCATTGTTTTAACATGTTTATAAGACAGTTTGATGTTCTAGTGCCATTGTTTTAACATGTTTTTTTTTTATGTTTACAGAAAAACAGTCAGAAGAGTCTTCTTGCTCCTGCAGTCACTAATCTTGGAGTGTATTTGGTATTAAATCCTCTATAAAGATGAAGAGCGATACTGTAGCTCATCACCTTGTCAAGAGATGGTCAGCCTACATCCCTTCCTTCACGGACATTTTTGATGAAGAGATGTTCTACATCTGTTTCTTTCTGTTGACACTGGTGAGCATTTTCGGTGCAGTGTTTCTGTCTCGGCGAGTCGAAATAAAAGATGCTGGCCATATGGATTGATGCATTATAGTCGTTTAAACCTGAAAGAAAAAATGGTCCACTCGAATAGGATTGTGTACATGAAGGAAACATGCATATATGTCAGGATACATCTACCAATGGAAAAATCAAAGGAGGGAAACAAGTTTCTAAACCTTCATGTGGATTTTAATGTATCATATTCTTCGATTCCTGTTTTAAACTTCTTAAGATTTTTAAGTGTTTGATTAATGTACACAAACTCTATGCACCTACCTGACAGCCTGATTAGTCTGTCTGGTAGTATTCTGAACTGAAAAGTGGCAAGTAATGTGACAATCAAACTTGTTTGTAATTTGATTAAGTCACCCATTTCAAGCTTTTACAAATGAAATGTGTTGTGTGGCACCTTCTCACCTCATTGTACATATAGATATATAGTACTTATAATCCAGACGTTAGACTAAAATCAATCGATTAAAAAAAATAACAAAACACAAGTTCAATGTACAACAATATGTAACAAACTGCAGTGAACAATAATGTTTTATCCTATGTGTGTATTGTATGATTGAAAACATAACTAAACAAATAAGTTCAGGATACAGAATTGTGAAACTTAGCAGCTATTCTGTCTTTTCATATTGCTGAGTTATCTGCTCTTTTGAGCAGATATTGATTGTTACGTCATTAGTTTGTGTGATAAAATGACGTCGTTTTCTCAAAAATTTATGACGTTACTCTCACAAACAAATGACCTAGCAATCAATACCTGCTCACAAGAGCAGATAACTCTGCAATACAAAAAGACGGAATACAGTACCATACACTATAGTGTTGTTTTACGCGTGCACTATGAATACCAGATAGCAGAAGATGATTAACATACCCAGTGTTAAGTGTATAGTTTTCACTGTAATATCTGTTGTAATGATTAAAACTGACCACCAGGTTTCTAGTCTCTGGCTTTAATGTTTATCACATCCCTCTGCTGTGTTAATAATGAAAAACTGTTACAATATTTGCTAAAGTAATGATAATATGGTATATCACATAAAAGTACAACTACAATCAACATATTTAACTAAGAGGCTTGTTCATTTTTGGACAGATGAAACGACTGAATGGTGGAACAGCAGAACCATTCAAACATTCTTTAATTAAAAAAAAAAAATGTATTATATGAAATACTGGCAGGATATAGGCTAGTACATAAAATTCCTATGCCTGTTCATGATACCTAGTAAATACTCATAAGTAACTTTTCTTTGTATTTTGATTTCCTCCCATATAACTTGTGTTGATGGTTGTGTGATGATTTTTTACTGTGGATTATTTATTTATAACTATGTACATCTATGTATATTACTGTTAATAGAGATTGTTAAATGTTTTGTCTTAAGACTGTGATCCGATACATCTTAACATTAGATCCGGTTTGTTTGAAACTTATGTTTGTATTAGCTACACATACAATGTATATGTAAACACAATCTCAGTTTTTATTTGTGCAATAGTTCTGTGACGCAAGTATTGTACCTGTTCAATGTTACAGGGACACTAAGAGGTCACAGAGCAAAGTAAAGGTCACAGCTAGGGTGGACAAGTCAGAAATCTAACTTCAAGGTATTTCCCACAGTTTTTAACTAATTTCAAGGTATTGTCCACAGTTTTTAACTAACTTCAAGGTATTTCCCACAGTTTTTCACTAACTTCAAGGTTTTCACCAGTTTTTTTGACACATGCATTTAATATGCTAACTCCTTCTGCTTCAGGTTGTTATTTTATTCGTTTTTGGTTTGTACTTTTCCTCTGAATTATTAACAATTTGAATACTTTTCAATATCAAACATCAAAATATGGAACAAAATCATTGACAAAACATGCAGGGTCTGAAAAAGATTTTAAAATACTTGTCATCTTAAATGCTACAAAGTAAACACTTCTCAAGGCCTAGAAGCTGAATGGTAAAGTTTTTCTTGTGAACGTTCTAGTTGTATCGTTTACCTGGAAGGGAGATAACTGTTGGTGGAACCCATACTGATTGTTGACATACATGTACAAGGAAGCCAATAAAAAAAACACCTAGATATGACAAAATATGAAAAATTTATGGTGATAAAAATTATTAATATTTTTTTAGATGTTCGTTATTGATATGATATGTCGGCATACTTAGTACTACATGTACATGAATGTCTCACTTTTGAGAAATTCTCACCCTGAAATTTACAAAGTATCTCTGTGTATAATGTTTTGCCTTGATATATTCCCACCCAGAGACACATTTGAATGTACATTTATAATCATAAAGCAATCAGATTCTCACTGATTTTATCAGTATGGCAGACAATCAATTGTCTTGTATCTTATTAAAACATAGTTAAATACTGTTGTATTGGGAACTGACTGCCACCCATAGTGGATTACGTGAAGATGATCTTTGTATTAACCAAACAAATCCCATCTCACCTGATTCCAAAAAAATGGAAAGCTATAGGTCCAGAAGATAAATGAATATAAAAGAATATTGCTTTGTCATTTATTGCAGAAACAGCTGCACTGTGACAAGTTAAATATTTTTGAATGCAGCTTTTCATGTTGTGCTCAAAGACTTTCTTGAAAGAGTTGGTGAGACTAATAAATACATTCTGAATTATGTCAGTCTACCTAGCTTATATTCGTTTAAAGGAGAATTTTGATTGGTGTACATTTCCATGGTATGGAAATACAAAGGTCATCATGCACATATTGATGATGTCAGATCTTAATACCATAGTAATAATAAACTTTAGTAAGATTGTCCCCCTTGGTGGTATGTCACTGTGTGGGAAAGATTTTTTCCAAAAGCTTTATTGTGTGTGTCACTAATTTCTTATACAGACTATGCTAATGAAAATCTCACCAACTCAGATCTGATTGACCTTACCTTTGATACATTATGAATGTGCAATAAAATAAAGCCTTATGAACGATGAGTATTTTTCTTACCATGTTTTTTACTGTGCGCCTTACAAGAATACATTATTAGTGCTGCAGATTTTACTAATGGGTTTCCGTCTCAAACCATTCTCACCTTGAGGTGAAACATTATAGTATGCAAATGTCATATTGCCGTAGGATATCTCAACATCTACCTTCATTTGAAGGTTTTTATATGTCATTACATTACAAGACTCTAAAGATGTGAACGCTATATAATTAGCTCACCTGGCCTGAAGGGCCAAATGAGCTGGTGCCGCGTCCATGCATCCGTAAGTGGTCCAGCGTCAATATTTTACTTTGAACAACTTCTTCTTAATAACCAAAATGTCCTGGGTAATGATATTTGGCCAGTAGCAAACTGGGATGAAGGGCTACCAAGTTTGTTCAACTTAATGACCTGCACTGATACACAAGGTCACATGGGTCAATTGTCTTGGATGAAGGGTTACCAAGTTTGTTTAAATGAATGACCTTTACAAACATTCAAGGTCATAACTCCATACATGCCATAACTTTCCGGTGCAAAATAGTGAGATCAGTGATTATTTTTAGTGAGATTTGGTCAAAAATAGTGAGATTTTTTCTCTGAATTCGTGAGAAATTCGTGAGACATTTAAAACATAAATTATATAGCATATATCATAGTATTGAATCATTTGTGCTATTCTGAAGCCTCTGATTACTTTGTTAGAGTCAAAATTGAAGATTTTTTGATATTTTAAAGAATTTTAGGAAGGTTTACATGTGACATACGGTCCAGATAAAGCTATCAATATTTAAAAGTAAACAAATCACATAAAAGGCAAAAAATATGTTAAAAACTTTAAACAACTTCTGAATAAACAAAATGACTAGGATGATGATAATTGGCCAGAAGCAAACTGGTATGAAGGGCTACCAACTCCTTTCAAATAAATTACCTTCACCAATATTTAAGGTCACAGGGGTCAATTGTCTTTAAAAACCTTTAAACACCTTCTGAATAACCAAAATGAACAGGACGATGATATCTGGCCAGTACCAGTATTGATTGATACAAATTTCAGAATGTCAATATGAACGAACTGACATTGACAGAAAGCTTTGATATGATAAAAAATGATTAGTTTGAAAACGAATTTACCTCTCTGTAATAAGTCAAATATGTATTCTAAAATGTTTTTATAATTTGCTACTTCAGTACAAACTATAGATATAATGGATTTGGTACAAAAACCATGTTTCGTTTTACATTGAAATCTGCAAAATACATAACCGGTTAAAAAATAAAAGCATGGTGTTCTTTCAGCAACAGAACGATGTTTTGTTTTAAGATAAGCCATCTAGATATCTTGATATTTTATGTTTACATCATATTCAATAATCATGTGTTATAATATTCATCTTTAATTCACTCATGAATACATAATTCTTAAAAAAACAAAATACAGAATCACAGTACTCGGTAAAGAGTACATGTGACTACATGCTATTTACTATTGTGCCTAATTCAGAAAAATAGTTATTTGTATTATTTTAACATGGGTAAATGTTGTTTTGCATCCATTTAGCTAAATTATGTCAGACACAAAAATTGACATACATTTTTTTTGAGATGGAGACAAAATCAGGGAGGGGGCCTAATTGCAGGCACCCACCCTGTTCCTAGGACATTTGCCAAAGTGGGGAGGGGGCATATTTGCTGTAAAATACGGTAGCATACTAGGACAAATGGCTACCAAGTTTGATAAAATGAATTACCTTGATCTGTATTTAAGGTCACGGGGTCAAATATTTTTAAAATATTTGAAAGACTTTTGCTGAAGAACCATGATGCCCAGCGTGATGGTATCTCGTCAGTAGTATGCTGGCCTGAAGGACTACAAAGTTTGTTCAAATGAATGACCTTGACTTATATTCAAGGTCACATGGGTTAAATTTGTTTAAAATCTTTAAAAGACTTCTGAAGAATAGCTATGAGGCCCCGAATGTTGATATTTGGATGAATGGCTATCAAGTCATTTGAATAACCTTGACCCACTTTCAAGATCACATTTGGTCAAATATTTACAAACTTTTGTATGACCTAATCTCATTAAACAAAAGGTCTAGGATAGGGCTATTTGGTAAGTTGTATGCTGAGATGAAAAGCAATAAAGTTGACTTTATTCGACTTTCCAGGTCACAAGGGCCAAATGTTTTATAAATCTATTGCTCAGAAAGTATTGGAGGGGTCATTCTCATATTTTACATAATGGTTCCTCTTTGTTCTTAGTTATGTATATCACATTTGATATGTAGGTTCTCATTGGTCTTTTGTTGTGCATGTTAACTTTCGAGGTTGATCAAAAGACGGATCAAAATGTCAGACAGGCAAAAAACTGATCAAACAGATAAGAGAAAAGATCAAGCTGTCATAGATCTTATGGAGATGGTACGATGGTGGGCGCCAAGATCCCTCTGGGATCTCTTGTGTACCATTGGAGTAATTTCAACCAAATTTCGCCAGGAGCATCCTTTGCCGAAGGGAACTAAATTTTGTGTAAACGGAGGGTGTGGCAGAGGGATTGGGCCCAAAAGGGGAATTTGAGTTGTAAATCTACAAAATCCCTCTCCTTCAGTATGATTAGAGTTATTTTAACCAATTTTGATCCAGAGTATCATTTACAAGGGGGACTCAATTTTGTTTTTACAGAATGTAGTCTCCCATGGAGCAAAGGGCAAGGGTCCAGTAAGGGGAACATAGTAATACGTGTTTAAAATCATTTTCCTTCATTTTATTAGGAGGGATTGTAACCAAATATTGTGTAGAGCATCTTTGGGCAAAGGGGACTAAATCTTTTATAAATATATGGTTGCTTTTAGGGGGCAGTGGGGCGGGCCCAATAGGGGAAATTGAGGTTAATCTATCCCAATTCATGGGGACAGAAAGAAGGGACCTAATGATCAGGGACACGTGTTGCTGAGAGACAGGGCCAATATTTGGGAAAAGTTGCAGTATTATACTTTTTAAGAATAATTTTCCATAATTGCTTATGTGAAGCAGTAAGTTTTATCAAAATTAAAAAGGGAACCATAATATATCATGATATTTGGAAATCGCCATTTGTCACTATTTTGAATATTGACTGTAGTATTTGTCAAACATGTAGCATTAGACACATTCTTAATTGCATCTGATGACGCGGTAGTATTTTTAAGCATTGCAAACGAAACACATATTACATTGACAATTAGACATAAGAAGGGAATTTAGTAAATTTAATTAAGATGACGGCAGTGAAGTTAAGGTAGTCATGTTAGTCGTACAGATTGATAAAGAGATGATTGCTATGTCGTTTTTGTTATGTTGTGAAAAACACGCTTTATTGCTTAAAAGCAGGAAAATTACAGCCAGGATAGAAAATGATAATATAATCGCTGTATACTAACGTGTCGGTACTTCGTTATTGAGAAACTTATATTGTTATTCAGCATTCAAACATCATGTAATCAGCAGATACCAGCTATATAAACAAGAGGGCCCATGGGCCTTAGCGGTCAACCAAGTTCTGATATATTTATGCAGAGAGTTGATTTTTGTTTTTAAAACATGAACAGAAGTATTATTCAAATTGACAAAAAACAATAAAACAACCTTATTCAATATCTAGCATACAGATATAAGACTGAAAAGTATTTGAAACTAGCACCTCTGATTCTAAACAAGGAAAATGAAGAAATTTTAGCACACTGACTCCTTTGGGCGCCCTTGGGGGTAGAGCTGGCTTTAAAGTATTCAAAGTATCAAACTGTCAACCAAGGGTTATAATTCCAATCAAGTTATCAACATGTAATATTCAAAGTATCATTTGCCATAATACAATTTGACCCTTAAGCTCATTCCATCTATGAAGAGTATTTGATTCTACCATATCTGGGTATTGTGAAAAATATTTTTGAAATTCTAGTCAATTTGACCCTTTTTGGCCCCGCCCCTCAGGCCCCTGGGGGCTGGGGACCATATAATTCACTTGTTTTGTTGACATTAGACCATGGAAGGTTTCTGCAAAATTTCATTGAAATTGGTTCAGGGGTTTTGGGGAAGAAGTCGAAAATGTAAGTTGTTTACGGACGCACGACGGACGACGACGGACAAAAGGCGATCGCAATAGGTCACTTGAGACTTTGTCTCAGGTTACCTTATAAAAACTCTAATAATTTTACAACAATTATGAAACAAGTTTTTACAACTTATATTAATTACTCTTGTTGGCCCGGATATCGATGTTAGCGCGGGGGGTTTTACTGTAAGAGGAAACCGGAGTACCCGATAAAAACCCACGTGATTTGGCAGGTGAACTTATACCTTTTCACGTCCGATCGGGGAATGGAACCCCGGTCGTCTTAGTGAAAGGCAGGTGCACTATCACTGCGCCACCCAACCACCGGCTACAATGTATATAATACAGTAGTATATATGTATGCAACTAATATGCATTATCCACAGTACATACATGTACACTACTTCTTATCCTTTACTATTATAGTATACACACATTCAAAGCCACTTTCCTCCGTCTCATGTCAACACAACTACAGTAATGTACATTAATACTGATAAATGTCCGTAAATGTCGTCAGTTTTGTCTCAGTAAAGCCGTGTTTTACCACAAACTGTTAAACCACGGATGTACTTTCATCGCGAATGTTCGTTAAACATCGGTCATCTACGATAAGAGGTAAGTATTCTATTAATGCAAACATTAATGCTTTCATGACATGTTCAAGTCGACACAAACAGCTACAGTGAAAGGTTTGACTTATATGGATTATGTTTCATCATAATATTTATTTTGTGTTTGCAAATCCTAAACTTTCGTTTTAATTAAATAAGTTTAGAACAGCTTTCATTTTCTTTCAATTTGCAAGACCGAGCAGGTACAATGGCTGATTACTATGTACAACAGAACCCAAACCCTCTAGTAGCACCCCTTCATGTATGTAAACATATTATGTAATTGATAATCTGATAGTCATTCATTTTCAGTGCCTTTGTATCGAGGATCACACAGTATCTACCAAAATCATACAATTTTCGTAAGCGTTATATGTGCTAAAGAGTCGTTATTTGACACAAGCTAGTGTTTATACACCTATCGAAGTTTATAATTACTGTCTGACTTCTTCCGGATACGTATCCCTCAGTTTCCGTGCATACTATTTCCTTGAAGCATGGCACATTGTAAGGATCACTTTCACCATATGCTATTGAGCAGTTATATCGTGCATGTTGTCATGAGCTTGTAATTTTTGTTCATGCCTATCGTCAGCGGAGCGTTTTACAGCAATATCGGTCTTCTATCCATCTGCTTGCATTGGATGGCCAATTGACTGCAAAATGTTTTGTGATTTATGTATACATTTAACCTATCTGCTGCATTGCATTCGGAAATAACAAAAACTTGAAACTTGTCCGTCCACCAACAAGTGCGTTTCTGGCACCTTCATGTAACTACGTACTCTGTCCACCCTCATCATTACACAATACGGTTAGTGTACTTGCTAAGATAAAGATGCATGATATGCATCTATTAAGTTTGTTTACTGATTCTGTTACTAAAGCTGTGTTGTCTATATGTTATTGTTTGACATTAGTATATTCTTTACCAATTGATTTAATTTAACTGTTTCGTAAGCAGTTATTACTTTTTTATCGTTGCGTATCTGAGGTTTTGCATTTCATAAATGTGCAGTGTTGTTTAGCTCTAAATGACTACACATATAAAACAATTCTGTTCCGTACCGTTCTTCATTCTGTGTTGCCGCCTCTACTCTTATGACCCCACCACAATTAAACTGTTTGGGTAGTAATGCTTCGTCAAAGGTAAACACTAATACCGAACTTGACCTGACAGAAGTTGGTACTGTATATGGAAGGGACAGATAAACACAGCATACTTCAACCAACAAATTACTTTACGCTCCGATAATTCTTATTAAGAAAAAATCACAACAGAATCAGGAGTACAAATACAAATACTTATACATACCTACACATGATAAAAACACTCTGCTATATGAACTGTGTATCTGATATACAGAAATAGTCAATAAAAGTTAAAACAACATTCCCTTTTTATGTACAGTTAAAATTAATTTTGACCTATAAATAATAGTAGGAAAACGCACTGGTTTACGAGACATTCCTCTGCGGAATTTTAAGACGCAAGGTTTTTATCTTGTGGCATTTTGTTGAGGAAGTCGAACAGGGCTAAGTCGGTTCGCTGTTCTCAGTGCAACAAACCATGTTCTTTGTTCCAACGTACTATTATGACAAGTATTGGTTGCCATAGTCTTCTGTTCAAGTTACGTCATTCACGTGGCTGGCACTTTAACAGTGACTCCTCGTGACCCAACCATCAGTGGATAACAATATCCTAGGAGGTTATAACGGAAAAGTTTGTTTATTGTGCCGCTGATAATCCTATGGAGGGAAAAAGGGGAAACCTTATCTCCTTAAATGCAAATTTTTATTTCGGCGTCCCTAACAGTTTCAGTACTAGTTTAAACGCATTCATTGTTTTCGATATGCATGTCTTTTAATTATAACGACTCATAGACACTGTGGAGGCTTGTTAAGTCAAAACTGAAAATTTAGCTTTAAGGAGTGAGGACCCAAACTGGACGAGTACCTCAGTTGGATCGCTCTTTGAAAAAAGTCTTATAAATCAATAAATGTGTGGTGTCAACAGTTATTAGGATGATCTAGCCTTAGCGTACATTGTCATGCATTCATTTTTGTCTACAGTTGACGTTGACGTTTTTTTTTAAATTAAAATAGTATCAAATGACTTATTTCAAACTTTTTTTCTACTTGTTGTATTTGTATTTCGTTTTAAAAAATGTCGCATGCATGTTAACCTTATGTTCAAGCATATGGAATAAATTCATCATATACAAATACTTTTGTTTTATACAAATTTCAAAAGTCATCATACAATGGAGGTTCAGATATTGCATAATGCATTATTTAAGACCAGATTCGATTTAGCTACACTGTTTACACTCTAGGTGGCGTCAGAGTGTTTCATAGATGCCCCATTTGAGCCCATGTTGTTTATTTCGTTTGTAAGAACACCCGTCATTTTTCTTTTGATACAACTATGAATGAATATAAAGCATCCTATGGATTTTCAATGAATTAATAAAAGGATGGTATGGTGATCTATTTTGGGTGCTCTGAGATTAACTTTGTTCGCAGTGTGCTTCAATTGTCTTTCAATGGAATAATACAATGGACGCACACATCACATTGCCAAATGTTAAATATCCATTGAAAGTCATATAAAACTTTGACTTGTTCACATAAGGGGGAAACTGTTAAATGTAATTGCACCTATACATTTCTGTAATTGATACGGCCTACCAAAAATGTAGAATGGCAACAATATATCTCAATGATTTAGCATGCAATGTATCACACAATGTTACAGTGCAAAATATGGGTATACATGTATATATTTATTCAGAACTTGGGAGTTTTAAACTCTAACGTGTGTGCTTGTTGATGATATTAGATATAATGATAATATATAACATATGTCCATTTATATATACCAAGCAATACGGTTTGCTGGTGCTGAACTGATATTATCAATAAACCATTTTTGTTTTAGTATCATCAACAATGGTACGACGAATGCCAGTAATCATTGGATGTGCCCTGACAGCACTCTGTGACGCCACGGTAGCGACAGTTCTTTTTGGACGTGGCAACCAAATATATGACAGATTTTCAACAGCAACAGCTCAATTCTCCGTCCTTGATTCTACATTTGAATTATGGTGCTTTGGTGTGCTCCGAGCTTGCGTTCTTTTTGGCCTCACACTTGCAGTAATAAGGCACCCAGTAGAAGCCATCACACGGATTAAAAAAGTTGAGGAAGGAGCTATATGTTTTCCCCTCGTGATGGGAATATATGACCTTGTGAAATTGTTATTGATATCCGATGATTCAGCAAGATTATATGACAAGTGGTTCTGGGCTCAGTTTTCATGGTGTCTGATGGGCTGCTGTCTGTTTCATATACATTACTATGCTTTAGGAAAAATCACACTGGTGCTGGACGGGGAGCTCTTTCAAAACGACTATGTGCGAATCAACGACGGTGAAAGTGATACAGAGGAAAGGAAACCACTTTTGTCTTCAACAACCGCTAGACAAAAACCAACGTCAATTGACGACGATGATGATGAAGACAGTGATGATGAGTCATCAGAAGATCGATCTGTTGCGGAAAAGAGAGCAACAATTTTCAGATTGTTCTCCTATTCTAAACCAGATATATCATACATTATGGGGGCGTTTTTCTTCCTAGTAATAGCGGCAGTGGGTAAGTCGGGTGACATTTGTAAACAAAGAAATTGGATTTCCACATTTGTTTCTTCGTTTGCAATGGTCGATATGATTGTCAAACTAATTATATATGTTTTGTTTCACGGTATCAGTGCATTGGTTATTGATGCACGCATTTTTGAGTATCTATTAGATTTATCACAAATAGAGAAGTACATGATCTATGTTTCTCAATTTAAAATGGAATGCACGCGAACATAAGATGGAAAATCTCCTTCAGAGCCTTATGCGCTCTAATAAAATGATTAAGTTTAGCAAATTACATGGTGTTGTTTTAAGATTTTAAAGACATTTGTTTACAAACGCTTTACATATCTTGTATTTATGTTACTCTTGTTGTTCTGTTCGTCGTTGGGTTCTGTTTGTCTTTATTCGTTGATGCTGTAGTTCTGCTGTACTTTCTGAGTTATACCACATTACACCTGACAATGATACAACCTAACTTATTACAGGTGAGATATTTATTCCATACTACACTGGACAGGTAGTGGATGGAATAGTGATTGATAAGTCCAAGGCCAAATTTACACAGGCTATAATCTACGTGGTCGTCATATCGGCGGGAAGGTTAGTATAATTACTGACGCATAAATCATAGTTACACGTTCAGGTCAACAATTCCATATCCCATTTGTTTATCTGGGATAATTAGGACCCCCCGTTCCGTTGCCAAAAATATAACTCCTCATTGAATTTTATTACTAGCGTGACTATGGCTCGATTTATCATTTCTTTAATGAAAAGCATGCCTTGTAGTTCTTGGACTGTATTGAAAATAAAAACAAACAGGGGAAAGATGAAAAATTAGCAACAGTGTTCTGGCGTACAAACAATTCCACAGAAGCAGATTAGGATTCGAGCTCTTCACGTCAAATAATCATACTTTCGCTTGTTTTGCTTGCAATGGGACAGGGATAATTTATGTGCAGAAGTACTTTAACACCTGCTAATATACAAGTGCATTTGTATCCTGATCACAGTGTTAAGAAAAAACTATTTTTAACAACAAGCCCTATTCTGACTACAGTGCGATAGCGAGCGGTCTACGGGGAGGACTGTTTACAATAGCAATGGCGAGGCTAAACGTTCGGATAAGAGACCTCCTCTTTTCTAGCATTGTTGATCAAGAAATCGGATTTTTCGATAGCGTAAAAACAGGTACGTATACTTTATTTCCTCCCTTATGTAAATCTGTACTTGAATAATTCTCTGTAAACAATGATATGTTACATTTTGTGTCCTATACTTGGGAATTTATGTCATTTAATGTATTAAATGGTATCTGAAATAATTTCATATAAGTTCAGAAAAACTAAAAGATTATACCAAAGCGTGAACAACGCTGTCACTTAGACGCTGTTGGGTAGGGTAAGCGTCTTCTCCCTCACCGACGACATTCCACTATGTAAGTTTAGTCCCATATTAAAAACAAATGTGACGTCCTCAAATACAATGTACATTGTAATTCGAACACGGATAACACCATGTTTCATATTCACAGGTGACATCACGTCTAGACTGACGTCAGACACCACTGTGATGAGTGATACAGTTACCTTAAATTTAAACATCTTTCTGCGTAGTACCATCCAGGCGGTGGGCGTGATTGTGTTCATGGCCAAGCTGTCCTGGCGCATGAGCATATTGTCTCTTATTGTTCTTCCGCTTGTGTTTGGCGTATCAAAGGTCTACGGAAAGTACTACAAGGTCAGTGGGTTAATTTTAAATAATGTTAGTTAAGTTGCAACAGGATACACAAGGTTTACAAGTAATCATTATATGAACGCTTTACTAAGGTTCCAAGCATGCTGCTTTGTTTAGGTAAATGAAGTGGTAGCATTAATGGTAAAGAAAGCTTTGTGCTTGATCGGTATGCCGCATCGAGAGCTTGTTCATTTACATGCTAGTAATGTGGATATCTTGTTAATTCTAACGTTCCAATTTGACTTCAGAGACTCTCGAAGCAAGTACAGAACCGACTCGCCAAAGCTAATGAGGTGGCAGAAGAAACATTTACGAGTATGCGTACAGTTAGAAGCTTCGCCAATGAAAGTTCAGAAAAGGCTCGTTACTATGCCCATCTATTTCGTATGTACAAGGTGAAGAAAAAGCAAGCAATGTTTTACGCAGGTTACGTCTGGACCAATAAGGTATGCTTGATGGCCAGGATTTCTGTCATGTTTTTATGGCTTTCATTATTGAAATTTACAAACAAACAATAACGGAAAACAACATAAAGTTTTTTTGGTACTTGTAGCTATTTGAGCTGATGTTGACTGCATCGGTATTGTATTACGGGGGCCATCTGGTGATCAGTGCAAAACTGAGTGGAGGGAATCTCGTCTCATTCGTCCTCTACCAAATGCAGCTTGGAGAATGCCTTGACGTATGTTATTAAATTCAACGCGTGAAAACGTATTATTCCACATCTGTATAGCGTGTCTTCTGTATATTTTAACACCAAAATAGTTCTTTATCTGTACTAAATTGGCAAGTTTTCATCAAAAACAAAGAGAATAGTTTTTGACCTAATACTGTACTCATGAATCTAAAGTTACTTTTAACTGATGTTGTTGTAATTGTATAAATTGTATAATCTGTACTATCAACATACTTGGAATAGAATATTAGAGACAATTAGGGCCCACATCGAAGATGCGGTTCCCTATAGTTACCAGCCTGTTCGATCGTTCGTCTGTCCTTTCTTTTGTTTTCGGTTTGAAATCTTTTGAAGAAAAGGTAAGCCTTTCATCACCCTTTGCTAATGTAGAAGGCCTACTTACCCAATTCCCTTTCTCGACATCAACGATCGGTAATTCCTACGCATATTTGAATTGGATACTGCATTTTGATAGGCTGATTACTATCTGCCTGATGTCCTTCTGAAGGTTTCACCTAATTTTGATCAAACTTCTGATTTGTTAATTGCTATTCGAATAATTTCTTAAACGTGTATCACGAAATAATTATATTTTGATTAAATTTGTTAAGTATATCTTCTGAACGAATCATCTAGTTTTGATATATTAATATCCAAGATTTTCATACGGTTCCCTGTTAGTCATATTCCGAACATATTTAATGAGTGCTGCATTTTGTTATTATCATCACGTGATCTTAATTTCAAACATTTGGTCATTCCAGAGTATTGGCAATGTATATACAGGGCTAATGCAGGCTGCTGGAGCGTCACAGAAAGTGTTTGAGTATATGGACCGTACTCCAAATATCCTCAACAATGGAACTGTAGCGCCCCATTGTGTCCATGGAAGAATTGAGTTCAAAGACGTTACTTTTGCATACCCGTCTCGAAACGACACACCTATATTAAAGGTAAATCGATTGATCTTAACTTTAATGAAATGTATGTGGGTATGATTATCAACAACTTTAATGAAACGTATATATGTGGATATGATGATAATCCTGTCTATCTGTCAACACGGCCGTCTGTTATGAGCACATTGCTTGTTGGCCATAGACCGGGTAATTTTCTCTATACACTCATAACACTTCAGACCTATTTTCAACTTCAGTACCAAACAGTGTATATATTTCAAGGTTCAAAGATCGACGTTTAATGGAACTTTGACTCGGTACATAAAATGTATTCAGGACCTATTTGAAAAGATCACACACACATTACCGACTCAGGGACCGAGACGCCTTTTTACATGAATGTTTACTGTTATAAGACATTTTACATTGTCCATTATATGACGGAGAATAATTGTCAGTAAGCTCGAATGCGTTTGATGTGTCCAACCACAAAATAGATATTGCGCTATACTAACGAGCTGACAGCTTACATTTGTTGATGGTTTTTTACTTAATAAAGATTCAAAATAAGACATGAATATTAGTTTAAGCTAGTTTTTAATTCATTTGTATGGACATCCGTTTGCTTACTTTAGTGAGCATTCACAAATGTTTATAACAACACAATAGCTCTGTTGATTTAGCCAATATAGTTTTATTGGCTTGCTCAGATAGCGATATTACTATTGGAACTGTTCAGAAATTACCATTAACATTTAACCGTTTCCAGAATGTATCGTTCTCGGTGGCTCCGGGGGAGGTGGTGGCCCTTGTGGGTCCTAGTGGGAGTGGCAAAACATCTTGTATTAACCTTATGGAACACTTCTACGAGACATGTACGGGGTCAGTATTACTGGACGGCCATCCAATACAGAGTTACGACCATACCTACCTACACACAAAGGTAAGAAAAACTCAATTATCTGAAGATTAAGCATTATAATGAGATATCCAAAATAAATATACTACCGCCACTTATCTACACAAACAATAACAATGCAAAAGTAATGCACAAGACGTATCCTACATATTAAGATTACATGCATACAGGTACAAACACGCAAAGTATATAACTATGGTTTCTACACAAATGCGAATGATGTATATACAAATACAATGCATCTTCTTGCAAGGTCATGCAGCTTTCATACTGGTACAACCATGCAAATATATATAGCAAATAGCTAGCCAACTTATAGGGCATTCTGCCTCCTTTTATAATGAATACGGACGTTTTGTTCTGTAGGTGGCGTTAGTGGGACAAGAGCCTGTACTGTATGCGCGATCACTCAAGGACAACATCCGCTGCGGCCTACCGGAAGAGCATTATGGGATGGAGCGTGTCATAAGAGCAGCGAATTTGGCCAACGCCCACCATTTCATCATGGAGATGAAGAAAGAATATGATACGCAGGCTGGAGAGAAAGGTCTTCAACTATCAGGTAGGGATATAATGTAACACAATAAGGGTCATATTAAAAGGTATATTGTAGGATGAACGTGTTTGAAATTACACTAATGATGAATAGGTATGGATAATAATGTTAACCTATTGAATATTAAAACTTTCGCTTTTTGCTTTTTTATTTAAAAAAGGAGGACAAAAGCAGAGGATTGCCATTGCGCGTGCGCTAATTCGCAATCCCGCAATTTTATTACTGGATGAGGCCACTAGTGCGCTCGACGCGGAGTCGGAACACGTGGTATGTACAGCATTGTTTAAGAATAAAGGTTAATACTCTACAGCTGTTTAAACGTCAAAAATGATATTGATGGTTTGATTTCATCATTCATATTGCAAGGTTCTTGTTAGTATTCAAGAACAAAATGATTGAAATAGAAAATATAAATAATGCAAAAGTTGGGAAGTGGTATATATTGGTTAAAATGTAGGTTTCGTTTTTGTCTTGATAATTTTTGGGGGTTTCTTGTTGGGTTTGGTAGAATCGTTTAAGAATATTAACAGTCTTCAGTGCTGTCTTTTATTCTATAATATGAAAGGTTCAACAAGCAATCTACAAAAACTTGCAAGGAAAGACTGTGATAATAATAGCACACAGACTCAGCACAGTGGAGAAAGCGGACCGCATCATTGTCATCGAAAAAGGACAAGTAGTTGAACAAGGGTCCCATTCGGAACTTCTCTCACGGAAAGGACTTTATACCAAGCTGGTCAAAAGGCAATTGAAAGATACTAACTCATCTTGATCGATGGTAAAGATTTATAACATACAGAGTTGTCAAGTATTTGATACATTTTTCTGTGATACTTTTTTGTTTGCTTTGCATGATTTGTTGAGCTTTACACTCCAGAATTGCGTCAGGAATACGTCTTTAGGTGGTTTTTTAGATGGCAGGCAGTAAAACTATATTGGGATTATAGGGGACCATATAATTGATAAACGTTATTGTCGCATGAGAACGCTCACATGCTTGTGGCAATTAGAAAAAAGAAAACATGTATTAGATGAATCTCATCTCTAAAAAACGTCAATTCATCAACTCGTTATAATCATCAATATCTTCGTTTACAATATTAAGGGTATGTATTCTTTCCTTTATCTCCTCCTACATGTACCCACTATTTCCCTTCAGTAATGTCTTTATAAGCACCCGTCTTCCTATGAACCTAGTTGTTACGAAGATGTTTAAAACTCTAAAAGGTCAACACAAAATAAACGTACATACAATGTTCATGAAGTGTATTACAGCGTACCAATATCCGATTATAATTACCGTTCTGTTTCAATGTACAACATATTCACTTTATATGTTTTATAGAGTTTGTTCATTTCATTCAGTTTAACTTGGACGTCTGTTTGTCACCTTATTCCGTTGTACCCGTATAGTGTATTTATCTGAACCTTTGTCGTTTTGGCGTTTGTTTAATGACGTTATATTAATTGTGTGTCATGCGATGCTTCATTTGTTTCCGTTTCTTGCCTATCCCGTTTGCATTATATCTTAAATTTACCTCCAAAGCATTTGTTTATTATCAGTTTCGTGGTGTTTATATCCTAATTGTTATTGAGACTATGGATACGTGTCACCCATAGACAAAGTGTTTCGAATAATTATATATACCAGTTACATTGCATATAGGAATGGACGGTACACGTTTAGGAATACTTTATTGAAGCTCGTGTACAAATGTCACGGGTATTACTCCCTGTTGTGTTGTTTCTCGTTTATAGCTCTCAGGATCTTTGATCTAAGTCATTCTCGTTATAATATTGTATCTCTTGTACAGCTGTCAGCATCGCTGTTTTTTTGTTTTGTTCGAGGTAATACTCGCTATGTTTTAACTCGTTTATAACTTTCGTGATAAAACTCGTTATAACAGGTTATTGTGTATCCGGTATAGCTGTCAGGATATTTGTTCGAAGTATTACTCGTTATAATAGTGTGTCTTGTTTACATCTGTCAGGTCCTTTGTTCGAGGTAATACTCGCTATTTTAGTGTGTCGTGTGTACATCTGTCAGGTCCTTAGTTCGAGGTAATACTCGCGTTTTTAGTGTGTCGTGTGTACATCTGTCAGGTCCTTTGTTCGAGGTAATATTCGCTTTTATAGTGTGTCTTGTTTAGATCTGTTAGGTCCTTTGTTCGAGGTAATGCTCGCTTTTATAGTGTGTCTTGTTTAGATCTGTCAGGTCCTTTGTTCGAGGTAATACTCGCTTTTATAGTGTGTCTTGTTAACATCTGTCAGATTCTTTGTTGGAGGTAATACTCGCTTTTATAGTGTGCCTTGTTTAGATCTGCCAGGTCCTTAGTTCGGGGTAATACTCGCTATGATAGTGTGTCGTGTGTACATCTGTTAGGTCCTTTGTTCGAGGTAATACTCGCTTTTATAGTGTGTCTTGTTAACATCTGTCAGGTCCTTTGTTCGAGTTAATACTCGCTTTTATAGTGTGTCTTGTTTAGATATGTCAGGTCCTTAGTTCGAGGTAATACTCGCTATGATAGTGTGTCTTGTGTACATCTGTTAGGTCCTTTGTTCGAGGTAAAACTTGGTATTATAGTGTGTCCTGTTTACATATGTTAGGATTTGTTCGAGGGAATACTCGCTATAATAAAGTGTATCGTGTATAACTGTCAGTCCCATTGATCGGGGTAATGCTTGCTATTACAAGTACACATTGTGTTGTTTCACGTTTACATCAGCCAGGGCTTTTGTTCGAAGTAATACTCGGCTAGTTCACCTTTTTCCTGTGACAATTGATGAATGGTGTACTCTACCAGATGTGATTACTTTGCATATCTTACCAATAAGTTAACCTTCACTCCGATGTTTACAAGAACAACTTTTGTTTGGTTTTAACAAACAATCCGTCGTCGAACCTCTACATGTTGATTTCTAACAGTTTTATTTTTTGTTCATTACAAATAACAATATAAGATTTATACAATTTTATTTGTATAGTATCACAAATACTCGATTATTTTGTCACAAACACGTTTTATTAATGGTGTGGCAAGTGTGCATTTAATATATAATCTCATGCATCTAGTCAAAGTGTGTTTATTAGTATCCATCTTTATATTTGTTTGAAGCTTCGTTCGCATAGTATCTGGACGTAATCAATCAACTAATGCAGTCTGTCAATTTGTTATATTGTTTGGCTTTTTTTTGTGATTGTGAAAGAAAGAGTGAGTGATATTGTTTTGATGAATCTTACATGATGTTACCTTGAACTTCACTTGTCGATATTGTACGTGCGAGACTGTGGCATATCTGTATGTAAGAAATGCCAATTGCATGCGGAATAATGTTATGTCACCGTGAAATATTGTGATAATAATTTTCCCATAAAAACTCTGGAAAGAAGATCTACATGTAATTTTCTCATAAAAACTCTGAAGAGAAGATCTACGTAGACCGTGAAATATTTACATAATGAAAAGTGCCATGCTTATAATAACGTGTGTGTGATACAGTGAAACATATACTGGTATGAATGATCATGCTCGCAGTGATAGAAATACGAGGAACATATAAGGAAGCGTCCAGAAATTTAGAATGCCGTCGATGCGAAGCAATGTGCTTATGAAGCCCGTTATACATTATAACTGTTGGTTTGACTGCAACAGATAATTGTTTTCAAACAGGTGTTCCAGTTTCACTCTGAAATAAAGTTTTGTTATGTTATGCGCCGCTGTTACTAGAAACTAGGATTACACAATACCAGTAACCTTTTCAGCATTGTCTTAACCACGTTGATTTTACCAGAATCAGAGCTGTGTATTGTAACCAAATCTCACCACATATTGCATCAGATGAAACAGCAAAAATGGGCTTATGAGTTTTTGTCTGTTATTGTTAGTTGACCTGTTTGTTTCAATATCAAATAAAACAAGCTAAAGAAATGAGTCCTTAGTTTTTTGCCTTTCATCGTGAATTCATCATGTCATCACGTTGCTATTTGTGACGTCACATCGGTTGTTGTTTCATATGTCTTGTTGAACTGCATTTCTATTAAATGTGTAAAGAATGAAGTACGCAGACGTTGTTTAACCATTTTATCCTCGATCGATATTTACTGATATTTTTGACTTCCGGTAAAATTTCGACCAAGATTACAACGTGAATTTTATTTGAATGTTTAAAGATTAAACGTGGTACCAACTGCTTTTATATTGTCTTTTCATGAAACAAACTTTAACCAAATTTTTAAAAGAAAGTAGTCACTTCAAACCTAATTCCTAAATAGTTCATAATTGAAACTCCGCGTAGAAAAACCAAACCTTACTTGCGCGTGTATAAATTAACTCAGATGTTCAGAACACATTGTAGATTTTTGAGTAGGAAATGAAATGTAAACCGACGGGGAATAACATGACACAAGGGAGGTAACTCATACAGACAAGTCTAAAGAACAGAACGCAAGAAGGTAAAAATCAATGTGTTATGTATTATACAAGGAGTTAGATCTACGGGTATGATAGTTTTATTCACATATTTTATTGACCTTATACAGATTTTGTACAGGTGTTTCTCACTGAGTGCGTTTGTCTTGCACACCAATGAGGTAGGGATATACGTGTATATCTATACGTAATACCAATATTGATTCAGTCCCCGTAAAAGAAGTTCGTGTAAACGTGAACTGGTATTATTATTGTATTATTAAGATTTCACAGGAATTGCATGATTTTCGATAATGGTGATTCTTGTTTTCTGCATAAATATTTAGTACAGTTATTATTCTAAACTAAATATTCATAAGTACAGACATCATTCTGGAGCGCAATAAAACAATTGATATTTTTACAGTGAATTTACCTTCATTGTAATTGAGATATCGCGGTTTAACGACATCTATGCTTAAACCTGAATATGTTACATAAACTGTGTATTAACTGACCACTTAGCAGTGACCACAACTGTCTTTGTGAAATCTAGGTTTTGTAGGTTTTGATTGGAACATATACATGCATATTGTTGCGTACATGATAAAAAGTTAAAAATTATCGCTTACATATAAATAAATAATAAACGCATTATCACAATATTTTTACAAAATATATTTATACATATTCATACTAGTAACAATGCACCTTTGTATTACATGAAAACATAAGTATGGTGGAACTATATGAACAAAGTCAATACATCGTATGTATACGAGCATGGTACATCTTCGTCCATCCTCTTCAATAAGGTTCATCTGTTTGGAAATATGTAATATCAAAGTTTTACTATATACACAAATAATATATGAATTGAACGTGTCGCAACGTTTCAAGACCGACAGGTCCCTTCGTCCATAGTCTGTCGTCCAATAATGCACTGATTCTGACAAATGAGTTATATACAACAAGTTCATGGATATTTACGATGATAACAGTAGATATATACTAGCATGGTAGATATTTATATGAGCGTACATAGCTCTACACTAGCCATGGTTAAGGACCGGTCAACATCAATTAAATCAAACGTTTATATATTATACATACATGTATGTTGTTATACGTATATATCCATATTATCACACAATTATTCATGTAAATATTTGTCAATATCAATGTACTAATGAGGGAATACTTATGCAACCATAAAATATCTACTAGTATATCACGGTATTTAAATATCATGTAACCAGGCGTAATTAATATCTTTATGATCATGGTCAAATTTTAACTCAACTATCTTAATGAACAAGTAAAATTACAGATCTATATGAACATTATGGATTTGTATATAAAACATGTATAGCATGAAAAGATGTACACGTAAAAATGTAAAGAATAGACCATATGATAAATATGTTTTCGTCATAGCATTTCTGTCATAAAACAAATGCATTATTTGTTTCATTGAGACTTACATTGTACGTTATAATATAAGTACACGTCAATGTTTACATCAGCACAAATAATAAAGGACACACCTGAACGTTTCGACATCATGTCATCTAGCTACTTACTGGAAAGAAGAAACATGTAGAATGCTTAGGTGTGTGTTTTTAATCTACGAGATTTATTGTATATACAGCTAATTTTTAAATACAAAACCCACAGTTGGAAGATCATGCGGCTTTGCTAAGATTCAGAATGAGATCGCTTGCCGTCGATAGCAGCCATACTCTGACTGTGTGGAAAGAATGTCCTCTTGTCTTTCGGAGATGGCGAACTACCGGGACTGAGGTTAAGGTCAATGAGTGCTGGGGATATACAGTTGGTCATATCCATTGACAATGAGTGTTTCCGTTTCCAAAGCGGAAGTGCAGACCCATTTAACTGTCGAGGTCTCGAGAGAAGATGGCCGTTTGCCTGTTTCTTTGTTACAATGGTGAAGCACTTCTCCTGACTATCGTCCTTCTTTTGACGTATGTCCGATTTCGGTCGTACGTTGTTGTTTGTATTATTTCCGTTTGGAATGACATGTACGCTCCCAGTTAAAAATTTGCCTGAGAATTTTGTTTTCTCACATGCATCCACCCGTGTCAGAAGACGAGACGATCTCACAAGGACGTCGTTGACGCGATGAACTTCTGCTTGTTTTTTTAACGTTAGCGCATCGGCTCTGATTTCACATGCTTCCTTAGATATGGCTATCGGTGCCATTCTCAAAACCTCGTCAAGGGAAGCTTCAAGTTTAGTCCTCCTCGACACAATGTTTTCGTGTAATTCGCGTTGGATTTTTTCCACGATTGTTGTGCCATGGACAAATATCCGGTCTCTGAGATGTGACGATTTCGTCACGTCTTCAGCAATATCTGTGATCTCCCGGCTCATATCGCGAACTTGACTTCGGTACATGGCGATTTTTTCTTCCAATAATTTAATCCGACATTCAAGGAATTGCACCTGAGACCTGTAGGAATCGGCCCTGATTCTAGCGACATCGCTGAAATCTTGATCGCAACTGCCGCGTCTTGGCGTTTGGCCAAAGTTCTCTTTCATTTGAAGCTCTTTGTGAAAATCCGTCATTTTCTTCTTCTCCAAGTCTAACTGATACTGAAGCATAGATAGTTGCTCACATTTGGAGGCCGTTTGTTTACGCAGACTCTGCATACTGTCCTTCATGTCGTTCCCTTGACGAACTTGTTCCTCTAACATCTCCTCTAGTTTGTTTTTCTCCTTGAGTAGTTGGAGCTTTTCCTCTCTTAGTTTTTGGCATTCTCTATTCCATTGGTCAATGTCTAGTTTGAGCTTAAGAACATCCTGGCCTAGTTTGTGAGTACGGTCCTCAACGTTTTGGTTTTTAATGTTGTTTTGTTCAGCAATGACAAGTTTCAAGCCCTCAATCTTTCGAGTTTGTTCTTCAATGACCTGCTCCCTTTGTTGGAGATCAGTCTCTAACGCCTGTGTTTGTGTGTTGAGTGACTTGAGCGCGTCTTGACCCTTTTCAATGTCTAGAAGGAGGAAGGACTGTTTGTGTTCTAGCCTTTTCTCGCGCTGTTTATGTACCATGGCTAGGCTACTGTCACTGGATTTGTACTGTTCGAGAAGTTCTGTTTTAAACTTTAGTTCCTTCTGTGTTTCAGACAACTTGTCTTCGAATTCAAATACCTGTAATGATCAATGTTTAGAATATAAGGGCAAAGAGTCACGATGTGATATTTATAATATATCTATATAGTCTTCCTGATACCGTAGCACACATGTGCGTGGGACATAGAAAGTCGCAAGGCAACGCTAGGCAGGAACTCCTGTTTAGCTAAACTGATTGGTCGTTAACTGGTGGTGTAATCGACAATATGAGTATGCTTCGAATATTTTACCACTTTGTTTTAAACATGAGATAATTATTCAAACATTAGCGTCGTGTTTGTTTGCCATAATTGATTGACTTTACCTTTCGGGAAGCAATGTGCATATCAGTTTAGATAGGATAGTCATGAATAGTTGATTTTAAGATAAAGCATGTAAGCAGATAAATGAATAACAATTAACACGTCATTATTGGTAAATTAAATGCGTGTCTTTATCTGACGTCGCTTAATTGTGCGGACTTATACATCCAAGTGCACACATGAGCGCATTTATTCTAATAATAAACCCTCAGATCAGCGACGTCAGAAAATATTTATCAATTGCATAATAAAAAAAAATATTAAAAAAGGCATTACAGAAACATAGTAAAAATCTCTGTTATTCTGTATGTTATACCCCACCTTTGCGTTATATGACGTTTTCAGGTTGTCCAGTTCAAACACCATTTCTCCGTGTTCCTGCATCAAACAGTTGTTGAGGTAGCCGCGCAGTGCCTTCATCTCATCCTTGGTTAATTTATTTGCCAGGCGACGATGTTCTCGGAAGAGTACTGAAAATACACGAAAAATGTTTTAATGTAGAATAAAATGTGTTTATGCATTAAATAACACATTAGCCTGGCACCGACTGTATATGGTCAGACATTACAGCTGAAATAAATACACGGAAATGTTTAAACAGTTATAACATGTAGAATGTTGCCAAGCGCCAGGAAAAGAAATAAAATAGAGAGCATTACAAATGTTCTAAAAACTGCTGACGCATATTTTGGGTCTTATGATTAATACAACACTCCGAACAACTGTCAGATTTCAACCATTGTTTTGATGGATTGTAGTTTTAGATAGAACACAGAGACATGCCCGAAAAATAATCATAAATTCGACTTTGTAAATAATCGCAATCCTTTCATTATTAATATTGACTAAGTTAATATATTTTAACGCAAGAAGACGATTGTACAACGTGAGTAAAATACTAAAATACAGCTCCGAACCTACGGCCAATGACAACATTTATACATAATCGACTAATATTGCTATATACAGTTAATATACGAAGCGAGACAGTAATTATTTTTGTTTTTCGTTTTGGACATCTTGATTAATTGTTGTTTGAAATGTCTATGTAGCTATAACGACAGAACGTCTGATGGTAATCCCGTATAGCAAGATGCGTTCGTTAGAAGCGCTTAGTCCTAACGAGCAATTAATTGATGTCGTGTTATTGGTTTTACGACCCGTATCTATGGTTGTGTGATGCATTTATATATATATATATATAAAGTCAAATCCCATTCAAAGGATTATAAAATACCAAGCGGAAAAATGAAGTTAATACAAAACATCCAATGGCAACTGCTGATGGATAAGTGAGGTCGATATTCGTTTTATCCGATCAACTGCAATATTGCTATCTTCTCCCCAGAGGTCGTTTGGCACATCCAGCAGAGCACCAGAGATACTAGTTGATATCATGCTTGATAGATGCCATACAACGGAACACTTCATCTATATATCCCACACTGAACAGTCAATAGCAACCAGTCAACGACAATCATAGATTTTTACCTTGAGTTAGACATGTTGAATTCGATCTGGGACGAAGTACTTACAGTGTATGACAGACAAGAGGGGGGAAAAGCCTAACAAAAGAAGACGTTAATATCGTACAGATTAGCATGTCCGATGTCATAATAAAGCACAAACCGGTTTCTAGGAAGTCGTGTACATGTATTGAAATGTAGCTTAGGAAGCGTAGTATGCACACGTGTGATGCCTCATTCATAAAATGGCTGGAAATGAGAAGTAAATACTCGAATCTTTTACTAAAGACGAAACAACGTTTTCCTCCTAGATACTTTGTAACTCACGTCCAAAAGTGTTTCTAAAATGTTATAAATGAGAAATTAGGAGTTATGAAGTTCTTGATTTATAGACATACCATTCCGTTATAATATACATATATCACACGGAAACTGATGTTGACACAAATATGGATTTCTTCTCCACTACTCAATTGAAAACTTCTGAAAACCAAACTCACACATTTGTTTTTAATGCATCATTTGGTTATGCTTTGTTAGCATCATGAACTTTTTGAGTAAGAAAAATTCATTATTCTAAAAATAAATTCCTACTTCAAAACCTTTTCCTCTACGTTATAAACGGTTTCCATTTCCCCGTGATAACGATCTGCTGTTGTGAGTACGCTCTTGTCAACCAGTAAATCGTCCGTGTTTATCGCCCTAAGGTTATGTTTCATTTCTTTGTACGAATGTAAACGGCTGTATCTAAAGCTTGACTGGGCGTTAAATATGATTGTACTTTTATAGTAAATGGTAAAACGTTACGATAAGCGTATGAAGTATGTAAACCTGACACCTGCCGATGGATTGCTGAGTCCAAGAGGTGTGATGTTACATTGATTGCCCTGACAACAATAAATAAAGCAATGAACATTTATTTGGGTGAATTTCATTTGTTGATTAAAATGCAATAAGATACAGGAATGTTTGATTCAAAGTGACCCTGCCACAACGACAGACCATGTTAATTAATCAGGGCATATCGAACATGTATACGAATTACCAATGACAGTAACTGAACGACTGACCGCTGTCATGCGCACTATTTACCAATTGCCGAATGTCCAATTTCAATTAATTATGATTTCCCTTGGTATTGTATGTATTCATCCATAAATAATAGCTCTTTGGTCCTCGTAAACTCTCCTCTTTTGTAGCACTAGACGTGATCATCATCCCATTCAAACTGTAAATCACCAATAATGTATAATTATATAGCTACCGTAGCCGTGTTTCTGATTGGACATGCTCACCTGCATCAGGCCTATCACTTAAAGATACATAAACGTTGTTCAGTTAAGTTAAATAAAGTAAGCCTAGCTACCAGCACTATTTGTTCGTGTTGTTACATTTGTACCACCCAATGGGTTGTAATGGTATTGTTATACAAAAGAACTATAGCAATGTAGTTGACAAAAGATCATTGGATGTTTATACAAAAAGGGTCAGTATCAGTGTTGATATACACAAATATGTCAAATTAATTATACGTAAAGGTCACCAAACATAACAGGAAAAATGTTTTGTCATTATATCATACTGACATACCAGTTATTTGGTCATTCCTGAAAAAAAAGCATTTAAATTTTCCTTATCGATCACAAAAAACTTGAGGAGTTTGGTATTTCGGGATAGGCATTATATATCAATGACACATTTTATCCTTTTATGGTCAAATACGGTATTCCATCATGGCATTGATTGTGTATTAGCTACGCGGGGATTAGTGGTGATATCACACACGTCCATTGATATAACGAGGGATTTAGTGAGACGCTGGGAGTCCTTCATGTTTGATTAAAACCCAATCAGTTACATAAAGAAACGCATCACACAACCTGTACGTCTCATTTCCACCTAAAGCAGATCGCGAATTAATAGATTGCCACACAGGATTTCCGTAGGGTCGGATATTGTGTATACGGGTATAACGTTTGAATAAAATATTCCTGTCAAATATCAATTATATCGTTTCAATTGAAACACAGATTTCTTTTACAACACGTTTGTTGACTTAACCATGTATTTATTTCATTTCAGCAGACATGAAGGTTCAGTTAAAGAATTAATATTCATAACAAATATAACATATTGTATGATATTTACAACTGTATGGCCTTGCCACGGTAAAATCCCACCAAATTCAGATGTCTAATTCGGATGGCTTGCATATCGTCTATGAATGCAATGACACAATGGTCGTTATTATGATATAATACTGTTCGATACCACTGAACTTCCATGTTCTATCCATTAAACAAACTCTTGCAATGTATACTCTAAATATTTGAACTCGTTGCCGCATTTTGTATTTTATATGAGAAACATATTTGTATAATGTTAAATACATGTACTGATTTGCTTCCAGTTGGCATTTATTATCAGTATAAATAAAAGAAATCTACATTTATTGTACGAATTTGCTTAAATATATATATATACACAAAGACGATTCTTATTTCATGATAAATGCATAACGACTGCACCAATTGTAACAATAAATAGAAGTCCATAAAAAAGAGGAACCGGGTGTCTTCTTTTCAAGGATTCTAGTACGTAGCACTTAGATAACCTGTATACAATACTTGACTTAAAACATGTTGCACATTTGCACATCATAGCATGAAAACACAAGGTAACAGCATGTTAATACCCCATACCAAGTCCATGTTGACATAAATAGTACCTTTACACACAGGTGTGCAACGTTACGCGAATGATAGAGTAGCTATCTGTCAGCATCAAGATAGCAGTCGGATTCACATGTTTTAAAATATGTATCCAGTTATTGACGATGAAAAATACTGAATGTTATAAACATTTATTTGAAGGTGCGTGAACAAGAAGCTGTTACAGCACAGAGAACCGTATATATTTTCACGGAGCTTAAATACCGATCTTCTACTAAATAACAACCGTCAAACAGCCCAGGAATACATCTTAATATGAGCAAAGAATTTCAATACTAGTAATACTATTACCAGTATAGTAAGATTCATGAAAAGAAAAACGTATGAAAAATTCTTTGACCGTATTTTTTTTTTTTAGAAAATGAAATCAATCAATACGTGAACGTTTCATGGAACTGTATATTGTTAAAGAGTTTTGAACATTTAACTGTAAACGTCGCACATTACATTGTGTAGTTAACCACAAGCAGACAGGAATGATATAGTAACATAAATATAGTTAAATCTGCATCCAGGCTGCTGTTTGTATGTTCATTTTTCATTTGTTTATTATCATTCATATTAGTCTTTCGATTAGAATATTGTGTTACAATAACAATGAAGTTTTATTGATTTATTTCAATTACGTTTGTTGCCCAGGATAAATGCGTGCAGTGCTTAATATAGGAGGAAACCGAATTTCCCGGAGAAAATGTATGTGGTCTGGCATAGGGTGAGAGGTACCGCGCAATTGCACCACGGCCTCTCTTAATAAAAGGCGAGTGCGCGGTCCACTGTACAACTCGACCACCCTGTGCTTATACAAGCAATTTATATTAATGGTACAAGTTATACAATTAAAATAGCTCAGGCTCATGAAAGGCCCATGTGGAACACCGGAAATAGGATCACATCAGCCGGATGTCGCCTAATTTTACAATCATTTTTACCTTAACTGCTTTTTCTAGAATACACTGGAATTAATGATTGTACGTTTACATCCCGCAACAAGATTATTTGAAGTGCAACTGTAACTTGCTATGACATGTAGCCCTCTTTACCAATAACATATAATGCCCAACGTGTGCCTTTTTACGAATGCACACTTCTTACTTTCATAAAATTTAAGCCTAATATCAAATATAGATATAATAAAATGTGTATACATCTAAATAGAAGTCAGATCGATCGTTTTAGTTATGTTTAATTCCCTAAAAATAAAAACATATGTAAATATGTGTACCTTTTTCTAAGTATATTTGATATTTTGAACAAACAAGGAAGGACACTGAC